GGCCCACCCTCCCGGGCAGGAGCAGACTCCTCCGCTCGCGGGAGCTCGTGGTAGGTGCGGATCCCCGTTCCAGGCTGGTTAGCGGCAGCTTTCCTCGGGAAATGTTTGCAAAACGCCACGAGTCAACTGGCGCACTTCAGATTTACTCTTTTTTTTTTGAGACAGAGTCTCGCTTTGTTGCCCGGGCTAGAGTGAGTGCCATGGCATCAGCCCAGCTCACAGCAACCTCAAACTCCTGGGCTCGGCGATCCTTGTGCCTCAGCCTCCCGAGTAGCTGGGACGACAGGCATGCGCCACCATGCCCGGCTACTTTTTTCTATATATTTTTAGTTGTCCGATTAATTTCTTTCTATTTTTAGTAGAGACGGGGTCTCGCTCTTGCTCAGGCTGGTCTCGAACTCCTGACCTTGAGCGATCCACCAGCTTTGGCCTCCCAGAGTGCTAGGATCATAGGCATGAGCCATCGCACCCGGCCCAGATTTACTCTCTTCGAAGGGACAATGTGTGACCAGCCAACCCTTGTGACGGACGTTCGTTTTCTAAAAACACACTTTCCATTTTTATTTGAGGTGAAACTTACGTCCATGGAAATGCACATGTTTCGAGAACACAGCTCACGAGCTTGGTGAACCGTGTCCTGTGTGGCCTTCACGGGACCCCGAGCATTTCATCACCCGGAAGGTTCCCCCCTCCTGCCCAGCCAGGCCCGGCCCCGGGCTCACGCTCCTCTGCCGCCTTTGGTCCTCCGACCAGTATCGTGCGTGTGAGATCATCACGCATTTGCTGTGGTTTCTTTCACGTTGTCAGGTTGTCCTGCACATCGGTGATGTGTCCTTAGTCATTTAATCCCTGAGCAGTGTCCCCGTAACCATGTATCCCGCCGCGTTCCCCTCTCCCGTGCACGGACGTCTGAACTGCTCCCAGCTTTGCGGCTGCGACAGATGAAACATCTGCGGACATTCGTGTCCGAGTCCTCTTGGGAACTTAGTTTTTATTCTTTGGGTGAATATCTAGGACTGGCCTTGCTGGACCGTAGCGGGTGTGTGTTTAACTGTACAGGACACGGACGGTTTTCAGATTGGTTGTGTCGTTTCCCACTCTGCCCGGCCACGGGTGAGGGGGTCGGTCGCTCCCTGTGTCTGTCCACGTTGCTGCTGTCGGCTCTCAACGTTCCAGCCCTTCAGGCCGGGCGCGGTGGCTCACGCCTGTAATCCTAGCACTCTGGGAGGCCAAGGTGGGCGGAT